CAGAGAGGAAGGAGAGGAGGAGGAGGGCAATGCCCAGATGTCTCCAGGCATAGGTAGTGCTTCCCCTGCAGGGATACAGCCCTCAATGGATACTCAACTGGGGATGCTGAGCCTGACCCAAGACGTGTCCAGAGGGGCTTTCTTTTATGGTTCACATAAAAGCACACACCCAGAAAGTCCTCAGCTCAAAATGCACCACTCTGTGCAAGGAATCCATTATATGCTTATTACCACACTGGATCTCAGAAAGTAATTTTCCTCCAAGTTATATCGACTGGAGAGGCTTCTCCAGTTATTGCAGTCTCTCTTCCATGGGGGATTGTGTTATTTCATCCCTGCCACCAGTAATCTATAGAGCTGTGTGTGTTTTACATGTAATTAGTCGTGATGGGTAAACCTGCTCAAGTGAATGCACTATTTTCTCTGAAAGCAATGCATTCATCCATGTAAATTCAGAGGAGAGCGCTCCTTTCATCCAAGCTCTTGTTCTGCTTCTGCGAGCTGCGCACAGTGACAGGATCTCTCTGCATCTTGGGAGGTGCAGTCTGGAATGGCACAATCTGCCATAACGTCGTGCATTCCACTTTGTGGAGCGGTCATTTCCACCGGCCTGCCTAGCTGACACTCAGGTCGTGGAATGACAACGGCACTGCCGACCCTCCTGGAGCAGCGGGAGCAAGAGAAGCACCCTGCCATCATGGCGCTCTCTTTACAGACAGTGATCCAGCCCAGCACACACCAGGACGCCAGACCTTACTGTGGTCGGTCCTTGTGCAAATTGCTGCAGACTGCACAGAGCACTTGTTATCTGATCACACAGAAATGAAAATAAAATAATGGATGATGATGATGATGATGCCAAGCATGTCATTGGCCTCTGCCATGGAACGGCATGTTCTAAACATGTTTTGCAGCCTCAGTGCAGGGAGACATCCCTCCAGCAGCTAAATCAGGCAGCTGGAAGTGAGAGAAACTGCCATGCTATCCCTTCACAGTATGCTGCTCTACAGGAAGAGTTAGAGTAGCCACATGTCCTATTTTATACAGGGCAGTCCTCTATGTTGGAGGGGTATCAGAGGATGGTTGAAGGGCAGTCTGGTCCAAAGCCAATGGTGAGACAAAAGAGACCTGAGGAGAACGAGAAGGAGACTCGGTGTGGCTGAAGAGAGTAAACACAGGGCAGGCATTGTATTCCTGTTACAGTGATGGGGGTGTTAATCTAATCCCTTGTGCATTTAATGCAAATCGCTGCTCTCTTTTCTGGCAATGTGTAGGTGGGCATCCTAGGAAGAGAAGCTGCTGGTTCCTTGAATTCTGCCATCTCTGGTAGCAGCACCTCTTGGCTCCCACGGAGCAGCACATGTGAATCCACCTGTGCACTGGCTAGCATTGCTCTTTTCATGAGAAACATGGCTCAGGCATGATTCTCTTTATACAGCCACAGCCAATCCATAGTGGTGCAGCCCCGGGCAAACGTTTATGCAAAGCTTTTAATTTAAGGGGGAAATATCTATGGAGAAAGGAGGCCCAGAAATATTCCTGCCAGGTAGCTTCTTTGAATCCTCTCCAGGCATCCACAAATTGGATTGCACTGAAATCTAATAGCAGGCCTACAGTCTGAGGCTGAGTGTTATCGATTGACAAAATGTTTTCATAATTTTTTTGAGGGAAACAGAGAGAAAAATTGGGGGTGTGGAAAGAAAGCGCACTTTTTGCTGGATGTTTCACTAGAATTAAGCTGATCTCTGAATGGGGGAAGAACCAGGATTGTGTTATTTGTGGATGAGTACTTCTAAAACTGGGCTGTACAGGAGAAGACATGAAGCCGCCGCCTCCCGGGCCGGATCGCTGGGCCTCCGTCAGAACCATTCTAACCCACTCTGGCAAACCACCTGCATTCTTGAATGAGTTATTTCCTGGCACCCTGCTTGGAACATGAGACTTGTCCTAATGGCCCAGCACCCGGTTTCACACTCTGGCCAATGAGGTGCCTCTTGAGAACCCCCAAAGGAAGCCAAAGCCACCTCCCGGTGTTCTTCCTCAGCAACTGTTCTTTGGAGGCAAGCGCAGTTCCTGGACCCAGCATGAACAGTAATCGTTGCCAGGCCTGTGTTCCTTCTTCAGGGCCACCAACACAGGAGCTGGTGGCTGCCCATCTCTGCATCGCATGGCAGCAAATCCCACCCATTAACCCATGGAGAACTAGAGCCAGGGGTGCAGGGCTGGCCCTTCTCTTGCAACCTGCCCGCCTTCCCTTAACCAGGCGAAGCAACCTCCCCTCCACCGCTGCCCCTGCTGGTCCAAAACAGCAGGCGGGGATGCAGCCGGCCAGTGCTGAGGCCAACAGAGTGGGCTTGGGCATGCGCAAGCCTGCTCAGTCTGCTGCCCCGAGAGGCCCAGCAGAGCACCGCAGCACCGGACTACCACCAGGGGCAGCGGCAGCAACAGCTCAGAGTGCGGCAGCTGCTGAAGATGGCAAAGAGGACTCGGACGCGAACACACCTTCTCTGCCCACACTGGTGCCCCCTCCACCCAGGCATGTCTGCTGCCTCTGAACGTTGCCCTCAAGTGCACCTTGGGCGTTTTGCGGGCAGCTGCCAGCAGTGCCCACTCGGCAGCCACTTGCTAGTAGTAGCAGGGATGTCTTGCCACTCTTGCCAGGTGCTCTGTATCCTTTTGGGTTACCCCTGGGATTGTCACATCATCCAGATTCAAATGACACAACTTCAGGGGTGGCTGTCAACCCCTGCAACAAGCCATGGGCTGCTAGAAGCTGAGCTTATGAAGCACCCTGAGCCAGGCAGGTTTGCATGGCAGAACAAGCCCCTTTGGCTCAATTTCATGCACTTCAGGTGAGGCAGTGGATGTCTTGTAGTGCTGTCTGGACAGGGTCACGGACTGGACAAGGGCTCATAACCAGAACTCAGTGCAGACAAGATGGAAGTACTGTTAGGAGTGGTATTTGGTGTTTGACCTGTTCTGGAAGGGGATGCGCTATCCTTGAAAGACGAGGTGCCCAACTTGAGGTGCCCCTGGCACCACCATTGACACCTTGGGCACAGGTGACCTCAGGGGTCAGGAGTACCTTTGGTCAGCCAAGGCTGAGGTGTCCAACTGGACAGAGATAACGTGGCAACAGCTGTCCAGGCTCCCGGCTGGATTCCTGCAGTGCTTCTTTGTGGAACTGCCTCTCCAAATGGCTTGGAAGCTTCAGTTAGTTCAACACAGCTGCTCGGTTGATAACTGGGACTGGTCGGTGGAGTGACAGCAACTGTGCTGGCTGCTAAGTCTATTCCAAGCCCCAGTGCAAATGGTTGGAATGGACCTTTGAAGGCCTGAATGGCTTGGGGGCGATGATCTAATGGAACACCCTCTCCAGAGGCACCTGCTGAAACCATCAGGCCATCTTCACCAGCCATCACCTGGATGCCCCCACCTGAGGGAGTCACACGGGTGGCTCCAAAAGAGAGGGACTTCTCCGCTGTAGCACAGCTTGCGGGGAATTCCCTCCCTCTGGAAGTTCTCCTGGTGCCCACCGTGCTGTTTTTTCAGTGCCTCCTCTTCTCCCTGGCATCTCAGAGCTTTGTTTTCAGGTTGTTTAGCTGCTTTTACATATTTTATATTTATTACGTGCTGTTGGTAATGATGTGCGATACACTATTCTTTTAGATTTTTCTTATCCTCCCAGAGAGTGTTTCCTCTTAGGCGGACAATTTATAAACAAAGGACCAAACTGATCAGGAGGAGGCTGAGAAATGCCTCCAGAGATGCTGCTCCACAGCTCGGTCCACACAAAAGAGCAAGCGCTGCCTCCTCTGCTCACCTGTTGAGTGGGCCTCTGGAACCAGCCTGAACGCTGGCTCAGCCAGACAAGCACAGGAAGCCCTGAAGGCATTTTTGTAGCTACAGAAACCTGTGCTATCCAGATGAAAGGGCCGCATGAGTCACCACTGTGATGAGGTGGGAGATTTTGTGATGCTAAAGATGGCAAAGAAGACTTTGCACGGATGGACTGAGCTGCCCTGATGGGTGGACAGACAGAAGAGGCTAAGGAAGGGGAAGAACGAATGGAATGCTGAAAAGGAAATGGCAGGAGTGCCTCCAGGGTGTTTGTTCTTTCCCCGAACGTAGTAAAGTTGTCTCAGGGCTCCACTTGTGTATTCCTTTTCCCAGATGATCTCATTTGCCTTTTACATTTCCATGTGCATATTTCATGCAGCAAATGTATTCTCTTTCTGGGTCCATAGCTGGTAATGAAAAGTGTCAAGGTGAATCTTGCTGCTTCTGGCCAAAAGCAAAATTGGTTTGCATCCTATTGATCAAGGAATGCTGGAATCACGCCACAGCATCTTTCATTTTCCTTAAGAGTAATGGGTGGATGAAATCCATCATCTGTCCAAAGGAAACCATATGCAAGATTAAAGTGTGTAATAATTACGGGTCTGCCAAAATGCAGTCCAGCCAGCCTCATGTCCTGGCCCAGGCAGGAGTCATATAGGCACCAAATCGGCTTTCAGTGGGGATGCGTCCGCAGCTGGATGGTGACACGCATCTCAGTGCCAGATACCCAGTTCTCCAGCTCTGTCATACACAATCCTCTTTTTAAGAAGCCAGCATCCAACCAAGCAACAGTGAGGTGCAGAGCAGAGTTTTGAGGTCCGCAGTACCCTCTTCCCACAAGTCAGGCTCCAAATTTTTTTCTTAAAGTGGGAAAAAAGCTGTGCATTTATTATCTAATGGATGAGACTGCAGAGCTGCATTTTCAATTCTCTCCATCTCTTGGGCTGGCTCACACATGTAAATATAGGACGGTTTCTAAGCACATTATACAGTTTTGCTATTTTGAAAAGCATACCTCTTCCTCCAAAGAATTCTCTGTGCCTGCTAATTCTGCACTGAATGCTATGCAACTTCTAGCATTAGCACGGAATGCTAATTAAGCTTCTCTTTTCTCTGTCTCTCATTTTCCCTCCCTTTCCCCCCCCCACCCTTTTTTCTAGGTACAGAACCTATTTATGCTACAGATCCTTTCCTCTGTATACTCCTTTTAATGTTACATAAGCTTGTACAGTTATTATTAAACCACTGATGGACTTCTTTATCCAATAATCCTCAGCCAAACAAGAAGGAGCCTATTTAAAACAAAAACGGGAGTGAGAAGAAGAAAAGAAGCCTCAGTGAGAACTAGGATATTAAAGATGGACAGAGAGAGACTGGACAAGAAGCATGACACATCCTACGGGGGAGGGGTAAAGCGTATTTTTGGGGACATCACACAAAGGTCGGTCACCTGAAATGATGCACCTAGTTTCAAAAATGCCCTAATCCACACAAGGTAGCTATGATTTCTGTCTTTTACTTTTCCGGTTTTGTTCTTTTTTAAAGACTTTCTTCCAACAATTAATTTTGCACGAACTGTGGAACAGTTGCTTTTATGATGCTACATAAAGATGGGGTGGGGGAAGCTCTTCTAAAGAAGGGCTGAAATTTTAGTAGATGATTGTGGTAAGGCTTTTTTTAATTATGATGATGATTATTATTATTTTCCTCCCCTACCCCATGCTTCTCCTCTCTTTTTTAATTAAATTATTTCTTTGGAAAACATTGATTTTAAACAGAGGCACATCTTACCATAATGAATATTCACTGTCGATAATATTTATTTTTAAATAAAAAAGATTGGAAACAAGGTAAGACATTTGTTTATAAACTGTATTGTATATTGCTGAATAACAGTTGAATAATAAAAGAAAGAGATTTTGAAATAATGCTTTGTACCAAGACATGGCATTCCATGTCTCCACACTGCAATGCGGGGCTTGCTATAGCAGAACATTTCTTAGTATGGCCAGGATCAGCAAAATTTCTGCCCCCGAAACTCCCCACCCCCACCATGAGCTGTGCTTCCACTCCCTTCGATGCTGAAATTTAAGAAACAGAGAATTGGCATCTGGAGTGACGAAGGCACTAAAAGGCCCCAAAAGGACTATTATTATATTTCTAGACCACCCACAGTCAAAGCTCTCTGGGTGGTTTGCAACGCCTTAAGTCACACATCCACATTTCAACCTGGCCTGACCCTGCTGACCTTCCGAGATTGGGCAGGATCAGGCAATTAAGGCTACATGGAAGCTATGTGAAGACTGGCACCTCCAGATGCCACCCCCTCCCTCCCAATGCAGATGTGCATACAAGAGATGAACTAACCTGTTGATTCCACTTGCTACCCACTTCTCATTATTCCACTCTTGACTTGGGCTTCCCCAACCACTCAGAACACTTTCAGTCTTAAGTTCAGTTCATCTGAATGCTGCAGAGGTTTACTTTACTATAAAAACTACATGTTTTCTACATGATTTTGCCTCATATACACGTTTTGGCAAGTAATTTCCCTAACACACTGCATCTTAACATTATTCTCACTAACGTATGCTTTCCTGCTTGCACTTTTTCCTAAAATGCACATTTGTGGAGGCATTTTTAATTGGAAAACTCTGTTGCGAAACTCAGAAAATTTTAAATAAGAATAATGGAGCTTTGATGCATGTACTGGCTTGGATGTGCAAAATTAGATAAATTCCCATTAAACTGCAAACTGGATTAATTTCTCCCTAACACACCCTCTTTTTTTGCCTCATGAAAGTCCCCACCATTTTCCCCCTCTGGAGACATGGAGGCCTTTGGTCCTTATTCTAACCATAACTAACTGGCTCATTGGACTAGTTTACTGGAAGCTGCCAGCATCTGACCCTGAGCAAACGGGGGAGGCATTTTGCCTGGATGCTGTCCTGCTAGCAGAGCTCAGGGCGACCCTGCTTGCTTTGCCATCAGGAAGAACAGGCCTCCCTTGCTCATGAGCAATGCTTGGGGCACAGGGTCCTCTCCGAGGCGGTGCATTGCAAGCCAGCCTGAATAGGACCCCGTGGTCTGGACAGGAAATCCCACCCAGGCACCCCGGTGGAGATGCCAGCCCCATCCCTGCTTCAGGGCCTGCCCCTAGAGCGGCCCTTCTATCGCTCTCCCCAGGAATGGAGAGGCCCTCCTGGGTATTTGTTTGCTGTGAACGTCAGGCAGAAGCCACAGACTTTCATGCTACGAGGCTGAAGGAGACTAGACATCGGCCATCGATCTGCTTGCTCTGTGAACCCCCTGGCAGGGCAAGGCATCCAGGAACGGGGTACATTTGGAGGTGGCAGTGGGGGTGGTGGGCAGGCAGCCTTCAGGGCAAGACTGCCGCAAGAGGCAGAGTTGTTCCCTGCGAGAGAGACAGGGCGTGTGTTCTGTCGGCATCCAGAATGGCACACGGAGGGCCACATGGCATCCCCCGGGGGCGGCTCTGGGGCCATCGGAACGACTTGCCCCCTGATGCTGCCGTTTGTTCCCCATTTAAAGTGTGTGGGGAAGGGGGACATTCTTGGGGCCAACTCTAGCAGAAGCAAAGCCCCAAAGCCTGCAGAGCAGCCTTCTTCAACCTGATGTCCCTCAGGTACGTTGGGCAACAAGCCTCATGATCCACAGCCTGTGTGGCCTCAGGCACCAGGCAGGCGGGCTGGGTGGTCAGAGCTGCAGTCCAAGGCATCTAGTAGGCGGCTCGTTGGGGAAGGCTGCTGTTTAGCCGGCAGGATGCAAATCAGGACCATGGAGAGTTCCCTGTGGAGAAGGGTCTGGTAAGTTCTCCTAGACTCCGGAGGGGGCCAGGGGCCGCCCTGCAGCACCACTCTGGAGCGAACCGAGGCTTCCTGAAGGGCTGTAGACCCGGGGTGGGCAGACTCTGGGCTCCTGGGATCTCTGCTTTCCCCTGACCCCCACTAAGCAGAGCCAGGGGCAAGAGCACGAGGAGTGGGTGGACAGCAGAGGCAATTGCCAGCCTCATATTGTGAGCCACACACCGAATGCCTGCAGGGGACTCAATGAGGAGTTTGCAGAGTCCAAAGAGAGGACGGAGGTGCATCTTCTGCAACCGTGGATGGAGGCTCTGCTATTTCCTGGGACTCCTTCTCCATGGAAACTTCCAAAGACCCCCACCTGGGGAGCTTTAGAGACCCAGTCGTCTCCATCCATCCACAGAGTTCCTCTCAGCCAAGGAGGGTCAAGTCCCATCAGCACATCAAGGTGGGTCCCTCCTGCAGCAGATTCCAAGTCATCACACAGTGAATAACCCGCTTGTGATGTTTTTTACCACCAATGGGCAGCACCCGATGGATTTTCTGCCTCTAGCGTTGAACGGTCTTGGAAGGAATCAGGGCCTACCAGCCTCGCTGGCGATGGGCTGCCTCCTTCACCAGAGCCAGCATGCCTGCATGCCCCAGTCGCTGAGGAGCTTGGGCAGAAGGAGGGCTGCACCTGCCCTGCTGGAGGAATCCTGTGGGCAGCCGGTTTGCCACTAGGTGTACCAGGTGCTGGACCAGATGGACCTTTGGTCTGATCCAGCATAGCTTTTCTTCTGTTCTCCTCCCTCGTGACTTCTGTCAGTCACTGCTGCAGTTTGGCCTTCTGACGGGGAACCTTTTGCACCATATTTGGACCACCGCATCACAAGGAGCGAATGAATGGGTCTTTGCCTACTGGTACAGTAGCTGGAACACTGAAAGCATCGATTGTGTGCCTTTGTGAAAAGCACAGAGGTGTCTCCAGCCCACACTGAGCCCTCATTCCAAGAGCGCTGTTTCAAGAGCCTTTGAGGCATGTGGAAGTTCCTGGCAGAAAGCGGCTCTCTCTGACAGAGGGCATAATTGAGGAGCCACTGGGGAAGCTGCTGTACAATGGGCAACCAGTGTGATTGTATCCACAAACAAAGCGATCTGAAGATGGCAGCAGCCGCGGGATTTGGCGCCAACAAAAGAAGCAGGCAGCTCACAGGCATCGCTTTGAAAGAGGTGTGCTACACCCTGCACGCTCTCCTAGATGCACAGGTGAGACCAGGGAAACTGTATCAGGGTAACAGTCCATCCAGCTCAGCACCCTCTCTTCCAGGGGAGACCTGGCCATCTGGAACGCTCCCCAGCAGGACAGGAGAGCGGCATTGTTCACCTCTTCGTGGCTAGTCCTCAGGATCCAGCAGTCTGATTTTTACCATGCCTGCAAATGGAGCTTGGACTTTTGGCTTTCTTATTTGCTCCTCAGGATTTCAGCATACAATGTGAGAAGGCAGGAGGCAAGACCAGGAGGAGCCACCCAAGATTTGGGAGAGCCCAGACAGCGTTTCAGTCCTGCTCTGTTCCAGCCTATCCTCACAGCAATAATCCTGTGGGTTTGCTTAGGCTGAGCGGCTGGCCTGAAGGGGATGGAGCGCCTCCACTTCGCCCTCTGTGCTCTCTCGGTGAGCGGGAGCTGCATTCGCATGAGGAAGGGGGAAATCGGCTTGTGCCAGAAGAAGGCCTTGCGCTGCTCTTCCTTTCTTTGTCCCTGAAGTCATCCCACTGCAATGGCCTTCCTCCTCAGAACCGCGGACCTCTTGGGGCCGGGGGGAGACACCTGGGGAAGGGCTCACGTCCCCTGGCAGCATCTGCAGTGACACCAGTGGACCATCACTCTTTCACTGAGGAAATATCTGTGGAGGAGCGCCTCCCAAATCAGGATGTACTTTTCCACAAAGCAAGCACAGTGTGGTAATTAAGTGGGCATGCGCTCGCACCCCTCACGGCACACTTTCTGCGTCACCCTTGCCATCTCCAGGGGAGCTTTGGCGTCTACCAGGACCTCTGGCTCCTCCAAATCCAACGCTGTCCTTTTAAATTACAGGCTCTGGATAAACACCGATTCAGTCTGCTTCTGAATGGCTCACGTGGCTTGAGATGAATAAATTGTCCTTGACTCTGTATTTTCTCTCTGCGTTTACTGTCTACATTTTACTCACAGAATCAATTATCTGTGTAAGGGTTTGACATCAATTAAGGGCTGCGTGTGTGTGCTGGGAAACCATATGTAATAATCAAGGGGTGCTTCTTCCCCCCCCCCCCCCATGCCATAGTCTTTAATCACATTAGAGGAGTGGGGGTGGGGGCAGGAATCCAAAGCAGCAAGAGGGGAATTTTTTGATCAACAGTGAAATAAGAATTCATGGAGAAGCACACTTGAGAAATTAAAAAT